GGCCTGGCTCCCCGGCAAAGTTTTGCCCACAGGCATCAGCATGTCTCAATGTCCAGAATCTCCCCCAAGAAAACCCAGCCAGAAGGAGATAGTTAGGACCCAGGGGTGCAAGGCTGGTCCATCCCAGCACTCACTATGGCATCTTGGAAATGACGTTGCCCTTATCACGTCAAGAAGAGTTTGGGGGGGGGGGGTCTCTGTGAAGATCTGAAGATCCAAGTGGGCCCTGAGTGATAAAGCCCACTAGACTTCCCTATGTCTCTCCCCCACACCTACAATGCAGGCTTCTCAGGCTGCTCTACTGAGGGTCTTCTCGAGGCCCAGAGCAAAGACAGCTCCTTAAACGGCACCCCATGTATGCCCAGTCCACTGGGTGGCGGGGGGAGTCAGGGATGGTCCTGATAGAGGCCCAAGGGCTTCAAAACCACCATTTCTCAGGGCTTACTCTGCCTTCAGCTTCTCAAAATGTGAGTCCTGTCCACCCACACTACTCCCAGGTCTCTACACAGCTGGAGTGGAAGCCCTCGTTCAGGAAGTTGGAATCTTCTAGACAGAACCACTTTGTCTTATAAGATGACAAAAGCTATGTCACTCCCAGAGGGGCTCCTCCTGAAGTTGCCCCGTCCATTACTGGACTCTTTCCGAGTCAGCACCACAACCCTGTGACAGAGGCCCCAGGGCTGTGTTTTCCGATGTAAGACACTGAGGGTCCGAGAGGAAGAGGCTTGCTGAGCGCCACCCAGCTGGTCAGTGATAGGGCCAAGCCCCAACCACATCTGTCTGCTCAAGAGGCAGGGCCCCACCAGAGACCAGAACAAATATCCAGCCCTCTGGCCTCACCAGGGTGCCCCGGGGCCTCATCTGCCCGTTTTGCAGAGGGAGAGAAGATAGAGGAGTAAGTGCCCTGGCCAAGGAAGCAGCAACCCTTCTGGATTCCAGGGGGCTTGGGCGACTTGGTGTCGTTTCTTCAAACAACGCCTTCTCCTCCTGGGCTGAGAGCGCGAGACTCCAGGGCGGAATCTAGAGGTGTCCGAAGAGTCTAGTCGGCATCTTTTGAGTCAGGAGTCTCTAGGAGCCCGCTCCGGCCAGCGCCGCCGGCTGGCTGGCTTTGTCCCCAGTACTCCCGCCCCAACTAAAGGCCCCGAAGAGAACAAGGGGTTGGGGGCGGTTCCGCTTCGGCCTCCCAACAGGCGGGACCCTGAGGAAAGACGGCGGGGCCCGCCTTCCGGCGGCCGCTACAGGAGCCCCAAGCTCCTGAATACTGAGCGGAGGAACAAACCGCGCCCCCGCCCGCCTCCGGGAGTCCCCAAAAGCCCCCAGGACCCTCCGCCGGAGTCCCTCCCGAAGGGCTGCCCGGCCTTAGGGCTCTGGGGCCCTGGCGAGCCCCACCACGGCGCTCCCCCCGAGGCGCGGGGCCCGGGACGACTCGGGAGCGGTGCCCTGGAACTCGGTCCGTCGGTCCGTCGCCCAGGCTCGCGTGTGCCGCCGAGAGGGCTACACGCCCGGCGCTCCTCCCGCTCGGGCTCACCTACCGTGCACCAGTCTCCGCATGTCCTGGTATCGAGCCCACAGGTGTGCGCTGGGCTCGGCGCCGCCGGCGGGCGCCGAGCGCGGGGCGCCGGGGCAG